TAAAATAGCCTATGAAACGACACTCATTGTTGACTCTCATTGTTGAGTGTCTATCTCATAGATCACAGCGAATAGCTGCTACATCCGTATACCATGGTATTACCAAAGAACATCAGAATATCATGTTAGAGAAATAACATAACAGCAGTATCCAGCACCGAGATCATTCGTGACAGATGTATCATCTGCTGTAGCACATGGGCCAGCAGCAGCACACTAAACTAAACAAACCCTTGATATAATCAATATTGATCAATGGCTCTAAATGTTGTCAGAAGACAGCCCTTCCTTATGATGCAATCATATTGAGTTTAGGGTTAGTTAATCTGTTTATTATTTAAATTACACATACCATAATTAGTTATTAGCGTGCTCGTGAATTGATCTATCAAAGTGTATAAAAACAACTAAGACCCTACATGTGCTGTTTACCTAATAGCTGGATGGCTAACACCGAAGCTAACAAAAACAAACCTGCAAGCTTTCGTTTTCGTCCACCAGGAGAAAACTCCGTCCATTTTCCTTCTGCTCGTCCATTTTAACAGGCCCGAGAGAAATCTCTTCCATATCTTTCAGCAGCATTTCAGACATAGTGAAAGATTTAAAACCATCACAACTCTCTGGAAAGCTACTTGGACTACAACTGTCCCAGGACTACTAGCTGCTGCTGCTGCTGCTGCTGCGCTGCTAGCGCTGCTTGGTTTTCTAGCTGGACTCAAGAGGGCGCTGTTGCTACTCTATCGGCCGCCTTCATTGTGCGTTATTGAGCATTTGGACGCCCTCTAGTGGCTGTTATGATCAACTGTCTCATAGCAGTCTTTGTGTGCAGAATTTACACTGTAGTATCCAGGTCAATAAAAACAAGCCTCCATGAAAAAATGATCACACGAGCTCATTATTGTATGATTAGGAAATCAAATTTTTGTAAATTTAGTAAAAATGTTGTCGGTAGGTGCAAATAGAATAGCACTGATATTTACATTTAGTTTTAGAATTGATTGCAGAGCAACATCTTAAATGGAAGATTAGCTCAACTCTAAAATCCCCCCAAAAATGCACCAATTCTGCAGTAATCCCTTATGAATCAACAGGACATTTTTGTTCAGTCATTCCATAGAGCTTGCTAAGGTTCATTAAATATTTGTTAGCAGGGATCTATAAATATCACATGTCACAGAATGCCTTCAAAGTGGCGCCATTGCAGTTAACTGGACTGAAGAGCCCTTTGCAGTCATTCCATTTCTATTAGAGGTCAGTCTGGCTGATAATATTCACAATATTTAGATGTAAATGTTTCTCATTACATAAGCAGTATAAAAACACACAGTAGAACTGGTTTACTGGGATTGTCCATTAATATTACTCGTCTCTAGCCTGTTTTAAGGCCAGGCTGTAGAATTTTTTTAAAATAAGAAATTAATGAAAATGTAAAAATGCAGAAAAGTTTGTTTGAGGTTTAGATTTAGAAGATGAAAACTATTATTAGCTCACAACAGAAGTCGATGGAATTGTGTTAGTGGTATATAAACCTATAGCGCACATATATAGCAGGATAAAGCTATGTAATAATTATATTGATCAGTGCCTACCGAAATTTGCTCGGATTATCTCTAATAGATATAATATAATTACATGCATACTAAGAAAATAAATATTGTCTCAAAGCGAGAAGTATCGACGGGTAGCGAGAGATTTTTTATGAAGGTTATATCTACGAATTATAAGAAACTACCAACATGAGATCAAAAATACTGACAGACAGTCCAGCAATCCAACCTTGAATTTACAGTAGATGTTTTGGCTTGCCCATCCAAAATCAAGGCGGGACTAGTATACAGTTAACCGCAGTGCATTGTGATATTTGTAGTACGCGCACCGCTGTCTCCTGAAGCCATCAGGGAATAAAAACTACATTTCCCCGCAGTGACCGTCAGCCAGTCGTGCTCCTATTGGCTGGCCGATCCAGCCGCAGCCCCAGAGAATGAATGAAATTGAAATTGCTGCTATATTACATGTACAATACCGGGGATCTGCAGTCTTACATTGTATCATTCTATATCAAAATGGCCACAGTGGTCCAAAATCCTCTGAAATCGTAAGTAAAAAAAATTATATATATATTTTTTTTGCGTTATGGAATACATGGCATGCAACAAACAGCGATCGTTCTAATTCACAAATATACAAACATTTTTAAAAGTATAAAATGCCGGCGAGGTTTAAACTACGAACGCATGTTGAAATGCAATAAATAATAATGCATGCGACGACATTTTGTCATCTGGGCAAATATGGCATGTTAGAAAGTGCAGAGTCTCGGGTGTAATTTCTGCATTACGTGTCACTAGACCTCCTTACAACTCTTACAACACCCGGCGTCCCTGGTCAGTATTGATCACGGGGAACTTACAGTTGTTGGTATTGGAATCGGAGAGTTCACTCGTCGCCGAGTCTCAAGATAAACGACGATACTTGAACCTTTTGCTTTTGCTTTTGTGTAATATGATGTCAAACAAAACGATCTGGCGTGCTGTTTGTCAGAGGATAACATTTAGGTGCAAACTGCCAGAACCGGAAAAGGTTACAGTTTATCACACCGAGGGTTTTCAGTGGTTACTTTGCACGCGCTGATCGCACACATTAGATTGTACAAATTACGTGCATCGTGAATATGATTTCTAATATGCATGCTTAAACATGACATTTTAGTGGAGTGCAACATCTGATCTCTCTTGTGCGCTGTTGCATCAGTGCACATTCTGTGAAGTTTCCATTAGATTCCTTTGTGCACACTGACACATTTTTTCGGCGTGCGGCACGCAGACGCCACACGGGCTCAGTGCCAAAAATTGCTTTACATTCGTCTGCTAGAGACGGGGACCTTTCGAATGGGGAGACGTGTTTGTATTTGGCATGCATATGTGAGTGTATCTGATAAAGAGGAAATTGCACTTGTGCCGGTGTAGTGCCGACATTTGCAGAATTCGGCACAACACCGGTGTGCTACCCTGTCAGATTTTGCTACCTCCCATTAAAACAGATGGTAGCATAATTCGATAGCGAAAAGTGCTACCTATCAGATTTTGCTTCCAGCATGATATTAATAAGGTGTGAGGCTTTATTAACATGTACACCTACCCCAACCCTAAACCCACCCTTACAGTAGGATAAATACAGCATAATCTGATAGGTAGCATTATTTGTGAGAACACCGGGTTTGCATCTCTCTCCAGTAACAACCACGATTGCTGCCTACATGGACCCAAGCAAGCTTAAATAGTCTCCACAACGTTGTATTTTGGTTGCAGTTTGGTAACATCACGGTTAAAACGTTACCCAAACCTAAAATGATATAGGCTATTTATATATATGCTATTTAATTATATATAAAAGTATAGCCTACGTTTACAAAAACTAAAAAAATCTAAAATCTAAGTTTCTGGGACGTTTTAGTTCTGGGAGTGTATTACGTTTGAAATTTTTTTTTTCTTTTTTTTTCGTAAAAACAACCAAAACACAAGCAGGCCAAATTACATAGCTTGTGGACTGTTAGGCTATTTGTCTGTTTTTTTACTTAAAAAAACAACCAACTTAAGTGTCTACTCTGTGGCAGCATTGAGCACTGCTGCCAAACACTCGACTACGTAAATTATTCATGTTATTATTCATATTATTTCAGCTTTGTGAATGCCTTGAAAGCCTTTTTGAAACGACTTTATGCATGATGGCACGAGACTTTCACAAAAACCGTTAGCGGCGCGCGCGAGTTCAGTAGACACGAGGCAAGGTTTTATGATGAGGTAAGAAACTCTTACCTTGTGGCAAATTATAGCATTTCAATAACTTACAATGTATAAAAAAATAACTAACGAGAGTACACGTGAACTATCATTCGGGTGTTGGTTACTACTGCTACCGGTTACGCAAATTCAAGCGAATAGCTTTGACATAATTTGAATTCAGACAAATGTTTTGTAAAAAAAAAAAAATGCATTCAGACTTGACAAAGTAAGTGTGTATGGACATATGTGACCCTGGACCACAAAACCAGTCTTAAGTCGCTGGGGTATATTTTTAGCAATAGCCAAAACAACATTGTATGGGTCAAAATTATCGATTTTTCTTTTATGCCAAAAATCATTATGATATTAAGTAAAGATCATGTTCCATGAAGATATTTTGTACATTTCCTACCGTAAATATATAAAAACTTAATTGTTGATTAGTAATATGCATTGCTAAGAACTTCATTTGGACAACTTTAAAGGCGAGTTTCTCAGTATTTTGATTTTTTTTGCACCCTCAGATTCCAGAATTTCAAATAGTTGTATCTCAGCCAAATATTGTCCTATCCTATCAAACCATACATCAATGGAAAGCTTATTTATTCAGATTTCAGATTTCAATTTCAAAAAAATATTTGAAACGTAAATATTGAAACGTCAATTTCAAAAAATGTACACTTATGACTGGTTTTGTGCTCCAGGGTCACATATGTGCTGCAAATATAGCTTAAGCCTACTTACAGTTCGTGCCTCACGTGACTTTTCTGAATGGAAGCCATCGCATAACCAATACCAATGTTAGTTTCAACGTTTATTAATACATTATATAAACCAAAAGTTTTAGGCCTATCTGTTAGTATTATTAGCCTTTTTAATGAACCTGGGATAACATGATCTCATAATGAACAGCTTTTTTTTTTAAACTAATACTGTAACAAACGTAGTATTACTCATTAATGTTAGTCAATGCATTAAAAGGTTAGTTCACGCAAAAATTTAAATTAGGCTGTGTTTTACTCACCCCAAGGCATCCTAGGTGTATATGACTTTCTTCTTTCAGACGAATCCAGTCGGAGTTAGATTAAAAATTGTCCTGGCTATTCCAAGTCCACTGTCATTGCCGTCAGCGTATATTGCAGTGCTTCAGTCCAAAAGAAGTGAAATAAAAAGCAACCATCCATAAAAAAGTGTCTCACACAGCTCCGGGGGGGTGAACAAAGGCCTCCTGTAGCGAATCGATTCGTTTTTGTATGAAAACTATTCATATTCAAAACTTAATAATACCTTTAATCTAGCTTGCACTCACTGTTGTAAACGGAAGCAGTTCCGGGCAGATGACGTATGAGGTCGGCTTTGCGCATGCGCCGCTCAGAAGTGACGAACGCAGAAACGCAGCGGAGAGATCAAAACAAAGCAACGGTCACTAACGGGCTCTTTTTATTTCACTTCTTTTGGACTGATGCACTGCAATACCCGCTGACTGCAATGACAGAGCTTGGAATAGCCAGGACAATTTTTAATATAACTCCGACTGGATTCGTCTGAAAGAAGAAAGTCATATACACCTAGGATGACACTGGGGTGTGTAAAACGCAGCCTAATTTTCATTTTTGGCTGAACTAACCCTTTAACTAATGGTACCTTTTTGTAAAGTGTTAGGTTATACGATTTTGCATGAATATCATTGAGTACCTTGATTAACTTCAGTAGCACTATCTAATACTTTTCAGTAAAGGAATAAAACTGCTATGGATTTTGTAAATCCGCAGTTTAGTTTCAGTGACTCATGTAAGTAACACATACATGACAAATCTTGCAGTATCTTACTGGGTTCTCTTCGGTTTGATCAGTTTCCCTGAGCGGTGAACTTTGCTGTTGACTGTGGATGGATGTTTTTAGTCATGTACAAGGTCAGGTGTGCGTTCTGGTGCATTTAGAGAAATTTGCATGAGAAATATGAATGAACAGAAAGAGGGGCTGCAATCAGCGTCTGAATTACTGTGATGTTACACTCTTCAATAACCCTCTTCAAAGAACCCAGTTAAAGTGCAGTACTTCTGAAGCCATGAGGAGATATCGGTTGAGGAGCCAATCTAATTTACATTACTGGCTTTTATAAATCACTCATTTTTTAAGAGATGGTGATTAAATTATGCTTTCCTTGATTGCTGATTATCTGCTAACTGGCATGCCTTCACCGAAATGATGGAATTCATTGGGAATCTTTGAATCTTTGGAATAGTTTCCCACTGTTCTCGTTGCGTATTTCTCTTTGTTCAGTCTCTCTTCCTCCACTGGTCCTCACATCTCTCTAGTAATTACTCAGGTTCACTTACTGTCTCTATTTTTCCTCTATCTTCCACTATCTCTCTCAGTCTCCTAAAGTGATGATGTCCTGTCTCTTCCAGTCATCTCGTAGGATGTGAAATGCGGACTTCTTGGATAGCTATTCCGCTTTGCCTTGCTGATCTGAGAAAAAATTAGATCTATATAATTCTTCACACTGTTGCTCTTAAAGGAACACTCCACTATTTTTGAAAATAGGCTCATTTTCCAACTCCCCTGGAGTTAAACAGTTGAGTTTTACCGTTTTTGAATCCATTCAGCCGATCTCCTGGTCTGGCAGTAGCACTTTTAGCTGTAGCTTAGCATAGATCATTGAATCTGATTAGACCGTTAACATCTCGCTCAAAAATGACCAAAGAGTTTCGATATTTTTCCTATTTAAAACTTGACCCTTCTGTAGTTACATCGTGTACTAAGACTGATGGAAAATGAAAAGTTGCGATTTTCTAGGCCGATATGGCTAGGAACTATACTCTCACTCCGGTGTAATAATCAAGGAACTTTGCTGCCGTACCATGGGTGCAGCAGGTGCAATGATATTACGCAACACCTGAAAATAGTCCCCAGCTAGGTAACTTCCAATAAGCTTATTTTCAGGCGCTGGGTAATATCATTGCGCCTGCTGCACTCATGGTACGGCAGCAAAGTTTTAAATAGGAAAAGACTGTCGACGAAGACTGTCACCCGGTTCTAGATCCTTCCTCCCCATCTCTATACTCAGGCCCTTTTTAATGTTTGTTTGCATAAGCGGCCGCAATTCTATAAGGGCATTTTTCTTCTTCTGAGACTGGTGGGCTGTTCTCTTCATTTCACTCACTCACTCACTCACTCACTTTTTTTTTCCAGAGAGACTCTCTTTGTCTTCAAGATTAGAGAGAGAGATAGACACAGATAGGTATTTTTAGCTCTATGACCTACTTCTCCAAAGCTACCTAACTCAATGTCAGTTATCACACTGTTGCTC